AGCTCACCTTCTGCCTCGGTCCCAGCCCCCACAAGCACTGGGAACTGCGAGTGCCTGTCCCTCCCCCGGCTCCCTGTCACTCTGCCACCACACTCGGAAGAGCGGCTACACACCCAGAAGAGTGGCCACACACCCAGGAGAGTGGCCACACACCCAGAAGGTACTGTGACTTCTCATTTATCCTGCCCCACCCCCACCTTGGTTTCAAGTCTGTCCCGTGGGGCCATGTCACACATGAGAAAGCTGAGGTGCATAGAAGGGGAGCAGGGTATGTCTGCCCCCAGTGCCAGCCCGCTCACTTCATGGTCTGTGCTGCCCTGGGACGGCAGAGCAGGCCACCACAGGGAGTGGCCAAGGCCCTCCTGTGGGCACCTTGGAAGTGAGCCTAGCTTGCACAGTACTCTCCCTGCACCCAGAACTGTGGCACAGGCCCAGGAAGGACAGGTGTACCTGGGGTAGTGGACCAGAACCCCATGCTGTCCCCACTCCCACCCCACACTATGAATGGTATTAACATCAGGGCAGGCCTGGGTACAAGGCATGAGATGTGCAACTAAGCTGTGAGACTCACACCTTTAAAAGTGGCCACGGACACTAGTCCTTGTCCCCCCAAGCTGACCAGGCCCTGGGCACCTGGGTTGTGGCACAATTTGCCTGTGTCTGCAATGCCCTCGGCCACTGCCAGTATCCCCTTGCCACTCATATGCAAGGCAGCAGCTAGTAGTCTGCCTCTGTGCCACGGAGGTCCGAGTCCCAGCCGGAGGAGGGCGAGCCCTGTGTCAGACTCACACCTTTGAGGATGATGGGAGCAGGGGCCTTCCCACCAGTGACTGGACTAGGGGCCTTGGCAGCATCACATGGCCGTGGGCTGTGGCACTGCTGCCCGCTCTGGCTGGTTCCTTCCAGTCCTTTCCGGCTGCCTCCGGCCGGAGCCACATCCCATCATGCACATTTGTTTAATTTTTCACTCAGCAGCACACTGAGCCCTGCGATTCTAGAACCAGATGCTTGTGGTGGCTGCACAACTGTATACCTTTCCTAACAGTTACCAACTATATACATGACAGCTATGCCTAGCCAGGGTCGTGGAAAGCACAGCCGGGTCTCCAACAAGGGTGCAATCCACCCGGGACAGAAAACACTAGAAAAAGCAAACCACACAAAGTGTCTGCATGAACCTTGAGCAGAACTCCTCCCTCTGGAAACAGCACAGCCCGAGGACCACTCTATCTGGCATTGAGAGTCAGAAACACGTGTGTGGGCCCAGTGTAATGGCTCAAATAGCTAGCCCTCCCCTTGTGGGCACCGGGATCCCACATGGGCGCTAGTTCATGGCTCAGCTGCTCCACTTTGCTTCCAGCTTCCTGCTTGTGGTCTAGAAAAGGTCCAAAGCTTTGGCAAACCCTGCACTCACGTGGTTAACCCGGAGGAGGCTCCTGGCTTCGGATTGGCTCAGCCCCGGCCATTGCGGCCTCTTAGGAAGTGAACCAGCAGATGGAAGATTTTCCTCTCTACCTTTTCAACTAAAATAAATGATTTTTTTTTTTAAAGGACATGTGTGTCTGCATGGGCTCTGGTACCTCCTCATGCAAGGATATCCGCACTGGTAGGGGTCCCAGCAGGCAGGTGGGGGATGGGGTGGGAGACATAGCCAGGTCCTTTCCCACTCTGACCTCTGGCCTCCTGCTGCTTTGGGACACACAGCCCTGGTGGCCATCCTGCAGGTCTCGGTGCTCAGGTCTGGGGTCTTTAGTGACCAAAGGTGCCAAGTGCTCAGGGCACAGCCCATCCCTGTAGGGGCACTAGGGGTCATCTCCATCACTTCGGGACATACTGCATCTCAGCGGGCAACACAGCTGCAGGGTGGTGCTGTTGCTGGCTGGGCCACTTGCTGAGGCCACAGGCTAACAGCCCAGGCCCCACCACAGCCCGCCAGGCTGCTTCTGCGGCCGTCCACGCATGGAGTGCCCTAGTGCCCACACTGTCAGGCACTCTTCAGACCCGTGACGGTCCAGGAGTGAAGAGACTCAAGGCATAGCCGGCAAGAGGCAGAGCTTTGCTCACGAAGGGGTTGCCTGTGCTTGAATTTCATTCCCTCGGGGACTGCACAGGGCCAGGGACCCAGGCTCCCCGGCCCTACCCCGACTGTTTGTCCATCTGGAAAATGGCAATAACAGCACAGGCTGGCCTCCAGGGCTAGAGGACCAGGAGACAGCAAAGTGGTGCACGGGCAAAAGAACCCCGACTCCAGGTTGCCAACTGGGGGTGGGGATGGGGATCGGGCCTCAGTCTACTCGGAGATCCAGATGCCCATGGACCATTTCAGGGTCACTCTGCCTGCCAGCTCACACTGCACTGCACAGGTGTGAGCCCAGCAGGCTGTGACACTCACAGTAGGCGAGGTTGTAAACATAGGGCAGGTATGGGCCCGGCGCGGTGGCACAAGTGGTTAAGGTCCTCGCCTTGCACTCCCGGGATCCCCCACTTCCCTTCCAGCTCCCTGCCTGTGGCCTGGGAAAGCAGCAGAGGAAGCTTTGGGACCCTGCACCCGCGTGGGAGACCCGGAAGAGGCTCCTGGCTTCGGATCAGCATAGCATCGGCTGTTGTGCTCACTTGGGGAGTGAATCATCGGACGAAAGATCTTCCTCTCTGTCTCTCCTCTCTGTATATCCACCTTTCCAATAAAAAAATAAATAAAAATAAATCTTTAACATAGGGCAGGTATGTGGGCAGTGGCCAGGAAGAGAAGGGGTCCCCTCCTCCCCCAGGTCTTACCACCAGAAGCTCTGATTCCTGCTCATCCACCCTCGGGAGCTGCCAGTAGGCAGACTAGGATGGCAGTTGGCAGGGGGGATGCCAGCTTGCCTGGCAGCAGCAAGAGCAATCAGCTCATGACTGCCCACAAGGCAGGCTCAGAGGGACAGCCACTCCTTAGGGCGAGCAGGGTACATGGGCAGAGCCTAACTGGAACCCTCTTACGGCGTTCTGACCCTGGACCTGGAAGCGTCCCCTCCCTTCAAGTTCTGGCCATGGGAGTGTCTGCACCTGCTCCCAGCCAGGGCAGAGGGAGGAAACAGGGGGACGAGGCTGGTAAACAGCACAGCCTGGCACCCAGGGAGCTGCGCTCTCCCCTGGCAGGTCTCCAGTCCTCATCAGCCATGAAGGTCCCTGGGGGATGGATCGGGGGCTGCTCTGCCCTGCACCCCCACCCCTGCTCAGCCCTGCCCTTCCTGTCCCAGGCTGCCTCTTTTCCATCAGCTCATAAATGCAGCCAAATCACCCTCATCAAAAAGCACACAGAGGAAGCCAAAGAAAAAAAAAAAGTGCTGCTGAAACACACACACACACACACACACACACACACACACACACACACACACACCCCCACCCACCCACCCACACCCAGCAGCAAAACAAAAAGCTACCCCAGGAGGAGATTGCAGTCACCAAGGGGGGCCTGACCAGGAACAAAGGCTGCCCAGGACTAAATGGCTAAGCACCAAACAGCCTGAGCCGGCTGCGCATTTCATTTCCAGGAAGTCGCAAGAAACCAGCCGCGGCCCCAGGATCAGGATCTGAGGGCCATTCTACAAGTCTCGGCCGCGTGCAGAATGGTCCCTGCACGCGACAATGTGCCGAGTTTGCAAGCCACCCCTTGACAAACCTGAATGTTAGCAGGAGTCCATTAAACACCCAACAGGACGGAAAAGATCAAAAAATATTTGTGGGCAATGGTGGATGCTCAAGATATCATGTTAATTGGTACTCAATTATGCAGATGCATTTTTTAAAGTAAGTTTGTCCCAAAAGGGAAAATTGCAACAACAGTCAGCTTAGACACACGGATAGATGCACGTGGCCCTGGAATTTCCCCCAAGAGTTAACACCTAGAAAAGAGGGGGGCAGTGAGGGAGATGGGCATGGGGAGGGCCTAGCTGGTGATGCAGCCACTCCAGTGTCACCACCTTTGGTGTCAGCACCCTTGGTTGCACAAGGAGACTGAAGTCTGGAGGGAACGCCCCCTCCGTCATTAACCCAGAGGCTACAGGGCTTCCACTGCTGTTGCAAAGCGGTTGAACAGATTTTCTGGGAGGGTGCAGGTTTGGGAGTCCGTCCTGCACCCAGCTGTCCCAGCAGACCAACTAACAAAATCCCACCTGCCCTTGGCCTTTCCCTTCCCTGGGTGTTTGGCCTTCGGCTTGGGGACCCCCTTTTAGGAGACCTCAGTTACAGGACTATGGGGCTTGGGGGGGCGCGGCACAAGCTGGAAAGGGCCTGTCAGTCCTGCAGGAGGACCCTGGCCTGGGGCTGCACTCCACCGGTACTTTGGAAGGTGACAGAAAAGGCAGCCCTGCAGGCCAGGCCAGGTCACCTTTGGCCCCAGGTGCTCCAGGGCCTGGAGGGGATGAATGGGTCGCGGGGAGGGGAGGGGGCAGGCAGCAGCAGTGTCCGGTGGGGGCGGGGTGAGTCCGGGAGGCAGATCTTTAACCCCTCTCAGCGGGGGGCGCAGTTGCAGTGTCCTGCAGGAGTGTGGGGAGGGGGTTACTCCAGGGCCGGACGGTGAAAACGAAGCAAGCAGACTGCCCCAGACCCCAGTCTGAGCACTCGGACCCCAGTCGTTCCGGCCTGGGCGCCCCCGTCCCCGCTCCAGGTCCGACTCTGGCAGTCGGTCTTGGCACGGCTCCCAGCGCTGGCGCCTGCAGCCGGCATCCCCCTCCAGCGTTGCACACCGGGCAGCGCAGGACCCGGCCCCTCGCCCTAGGCCCTCACGTCCCGGGCCCCGCGTGGGCCGGGCTCCAGCCGTTCCAGGGTCCCAGGGCGGGCGCGCCCTCCCTCGCGGGCCGGGGGCAGCGAGCGGTAGCCCACTTCGGGCGCCTCCTAACAGGTGGCGTAGGCCCGAGCTCTCCAGCCGCCCCTCCTTCTCGGGGAGCCCTCCTCTCCACCTGAGCGCGGGCGCCCCGGGACCCTGGCTGAGTCCCTGCCCGCGCAGCCCCTCGTACCTCCGGCTCCCGCGGCGGTGGACAGCGGACAGCCGAGCCGGGCGGGCGGCGCCGGCGGGCGGGGCGCTGCTCGCGCCGTCCAGGGCGGGGTCAGTGCAGCCCCGCCCGCTTGGTCTCGCAGGATTCCCCCACCGCTGAACCGAGGACTCAGGGGTCCTCACCACCGCTTGCGTCCTAGCCCTCGGACCAGCAGGGGTGCAAGCTCCCGGTGCTGCCCTGCCGTTTGCATCGAGTTGGCACGCCCGTTTCACAGATGCGCATACTGAGGCTCAGAGTGGCTAATTCGAATGTTCTGTGCTGTCGGCGCCAGGATCCTGAGCAGCTGTGGCCTGGCTGAGAGCTTGGCCCAGGTTTGCCGCCCCTGCTCAGCTGCGTTTTCCTGTCATGCATCATTACCTCCTGGCCTGGGGACCCCCAGGCCTCTCAGGGTCCAGCAGGGCCATGGTAGGTGTCCAGAGCTTCTGCTGGGAACACAGCAGCCACCAGCACCTTTCCCCTTGTCCACAGGACACTGGCCCTCCAGCAGACACCCCCCTGCCGTCCTTCCTGGGGGTCGCTCCATTCAGTGGCAGGTGAGTGGTCCATCTTGGAATTCCAGCATGATGAAGGCCACATCCCCATGTGAGCTTCAGCTGGCCTCTCTGCTCCCGACGCGGCTCCCTGCTGCCGTGCCTGGGAGGGCAGCAGGTGATGCTGCTCACCAGGGTGCTGGGTGACGCAGATGGAGTTCACTGGAGAAGCTGACTCTGATGACCCCTTCCGGTCCAGCTGCCAGGGCCGGAAACCTCGTAAATCTGCAGCCTCCCCGAGACCCCTTTGTGGCAGGCCCGTAGCCCCCACACCCCAAAGCTGCCAGATGGGCCCTTCCTGTACTGGGGGCTGGCCAAGCTCTCTCCTCGCCCGCTGCGTCTCTCACTTCCTCTGTGTGCAGGTTCCCCTCCCACCACAGACACCCCCAGATCACCCTGGCTGGCTTCCCCTTCCCCACCTCAACCTCTCTGGGTTGCCATGGCTCCCTCTGTACCCATCTCTGCCTCTCCCATGTCCTGTGTCCTAACGTTGCACCCAGCCCCAGGAGACAGGGTGTCGGTTTGAACCCACAAGTGGAGACCTTGACCCCCAAAGTGATGTGGCAGGAGACGGGCTTTTGGGAGGTCATTGGGATGGGAGCGGATGGTCCTCAGGAGTGAGGTGGCTGCCTGGGCAAGGCCCTGGGCTCCTAGCAGCAAGGAAGTTGCCGCTGGCAGGAGAGCCGGCCCTCAGCCCCGGCAGCCAGCTGGTAACTCCAGGGTCCAGCATTGCAAGAGGAACGTTCCGTTGTTTACACATCACCCAGTCTATGCTCTTTTGTTTTGTTTTATTTTAAAATATTTATTTGAAAGGCAGAGCATTAGCAAGCGTGGGCGACACGTGATGTCAGGATGAAGGGAAGGAAGGGAGAGAAGGAGAGAGGTCTTCTGTCTACTTGTTCACCCCCTAAATGGTCACAGTAGTTGGGGCTGGACCAGGCCAAAGCCAGGAGCCTGGAACTCCTGGGCCTCCCACGTGAGTGGCAGGGACCAAGCACTTGGGCCCTCCCCTGCTCCTTTTCCAGGCTGATGGTGGGGGCTGAATGGGAAGTGGAGCAGCCAGAATTGGAACCCTAGGGCACCATCCTGGGAAAAAGACCCCGATGGTGGCTTCTATGAGGGTTCACTCCACTGGTACCCACGTGACCTTGACTGTTGTGGTGCAAAGATCCTTTGCAAACAGCTTGAGCAGGTGAGCTGCGTCCATGTCTGGGGTGGCCCAGGCTGATGCCAGGAGCCTGCAACTGGGCTGGCAGGAAGCGGCTTTGGTTTGCATGGACCTCAGCATGCTGGGCCGTGGGACACATCGCAGCCACGGCAGCAGGACCCCGGCCACTTCTTCAAACAGGTCCCTGCTGTTTGGGCTCACTTCCTGTTACTCCCTTTCGCTCCTTGCTTCCTGCAGCTGGTGGGGCCTGGCTGGTGCCACACAGTGGGTGACCTGGTGAGGTTAAATCCTGTTGAAGAACCCAGAGGCTGGGGGCTGTGTGAACTCCAGGCCTGACAGTCTACGTGACACCCGGCAGGACACCTGGCAGGTCACGTAGGCAGACCACTCCCCAGGAAGGCGGTTCCTGGTGTTTGATAAGATTCACGGCCCAATAGCTCATTGATTTGTACTTTTTGAAAGCTGCTTGCTTCAAACCCACCAATAGAAGCCTGCCAACTTTGCTCTTTTTGTTTCGTTTTGTTTAAAGATTTATTTATTTATTGCAAAGTCAGATATACAGAGAGGAGGAGAGACAGAGAGGAAGATCTTCCATCCGATGATTCACTCCCCAAGTGACCACAATGGCCGGTGCTATGCCAATCCGAAGCCAGGATCCAGGAACTTCTGGGTATTCCACATGGGTGCAGGGTCCCAAAGCTTTGGGCCATCCTTGACTGCTTTCCCAGGCCACAGGCAGGAGCTGGATGGGAAGTGGAGCTGCTGGGACTAGAACTGGCGTCCATATGGGATCCTGGCGTGTTCAAGGCGAGGTCTTTAGCCGCTAGGCCACGTCGCTGGGTCCCAACTGCTCTTTTTCAAAGTTAACGGTTAAACTGACCAATCATGACTGTGTAATTATTGGCCTGAAATGTATAAGAACCCTGTGCTGTTCAACCTCTCTTTCGTCCACCCTGCTGTTCCTGCTGCGGCTGCAGCTGCCCCTCCTCTGCCCAGCCCTGCTGGGGGGCGGGATGGCTGGGAGACCCAATTAACCTGAATAAACTGCCCTTTATGGGTTAGCACCAACTTCAAACTGGATGATTTTCTGGGGATCTCAACATCCAGCACAATGCTGTTACTACCGGATTAACAATAATAGGAATACTTGCTAACAAAACCGCAGGTGGAGCTGGCCATCAATTACTGCCCTCCAATGGGGAGGTTTTTTTCAGTTTTGTTTTGGAAAAAGATTGCTCAGAAGCCAAAGCTGCTCACACTCACCTCAAAGCCCATCCCCACCCAGGCCTCGGTGTCGGGGCCCCTTCTCCTAAAAGCCTCAGGGAGGCCCTATCCCTACCCAGGCCTCGGTGTCGGGGCCCCTTCTCTACAAGGGGAACTAGGACCATAAAAACCAAACTAGAATGTTCCAGAATGTCCTGCGAACGCCAGGAAGGGAGGCCGCTCTCAAGAAACAAAACAAAACAAAAACTGAGGGGAGCATGCAAAAGATAGCAAAAGGAACAGACCAGCGGCCTCCTGCTAGCAGCAAAAGCAGTGATACATTTGCATAAAGTGATTGATTGATTGTAGTTAAGTATTGGTCATTTGAATAAATCAACTCTGAAAAGCCACAGCTATCCTGCAAAGGTCGGTAGAAAGCATTTAAAAAGTTGTGTAAGAACCATGTCTGCCATGTGATGTGTTATTGGTGTGGCCTGTGCATTGAAGAGGCAGCCTGCTGCTGCGCTAGAAGCACAGGCTGGGCCCTGGCAGCTGCCTTGTGGACACCTCCGGTCAGAATGTCCCCACTGATTACCCAGTCAAGGAGAGGAGCCGGGTCCATGCAGGAAGCCAGGGTCAAGCGCCTAGGTCCAGCGCCCTCAGTTGACCCTGGAAGACAACTGCAGGATGAGGCGGGGCCCAGCAGGCTAAGCCACAGCATTGGGCATCCATGTCCCATACCTGAGTCCTGGCTGCTGCTCTGCCTATGGCCTGGGAAGAGAGTGGAGAAGGCTCCTGCAGCCGCGTGGGAGACTTGAAAGGTGCTCCAGGCTCCAGCCTGGCCCTACCAGGCGTTTGGGGAGTGAACCAATGCAAGATCTCCCTCTCTCTCTAAGCCTCTCACCCTCTCCCTGTTGCTCTGCCTGTCTAGCAGATGAAAATAAACATTTAGATTTTGAAAAGGATTATTGCAAACATGGCAAGACTTCAAAATCCCATTACAGAAGCTCCAGGGAGAAATCAAATGTGGCACCACCAGCATCTTAGCTGGGAGCAGCTAGGTCAGGGTGTGGGGGATGGCGGGGCAGGCCTTCGGGGTTCTCAGAGGGCTCCCAGGCCCGGCTGGGCGTGGCCACCCTATTCTGGGAAAAAGCTGCAGCAAGGTGGCTCACACAGCTCACCCGGTCAATGGGGATTGCATTTATAAAACCTGAAGTCATGTTTAGAACATTCTAGAAGCATTGAGCTTTGTGCCAAGCTCTGTGTCCTATGCAGATGCCCCAGTGCCCAGACCTCAGAATGGAAATGGATTTGTAGGTGGGGGGCTTCACAGAGCTAATTGAGGTGAAAAAACGAGGTCCCACAGGTGTCCCTGAGCCAATGCAACCGAGCGCCTTATGAGACAAGTTGGGGCAGGACACCGGTGGGGCAACGGGGCAGGGATCTGGGGAGAGAGGTCCCAGGAGATGGAGCTGCACCCGCACCTGGATCCTGGATGTCAGTCTCCTGGGGTCACGTGTTGGGTCCCTCTGCCACAAGCTTGAGCAAGTCTAGAAGACAGATACGAAGTCTTGGGGGTCCCCGGCAGGGGGACCCCCATGCTGTTCAGGGTGTAGAAAGAATCCAGGCTGAGCCATGGCGCCTTCAGCAGGCTGCCTCTCCGCTCCTCTCCTCCGCCTGTTTCCGTGGCCATGCAAGCAAGAATTCAAGGAAGACATGGAGAGTGAAGGCACACAGTACGCATTTGACAGTGAGCTGCCAGTTAGCAAGCTTAGCGCTGGGAGCACAAGGCAGTGTCTGGGCGGGGTGTAGTGGATGGTGGGGGGCTGGGGGCGGGGCTTGAGGACCTCCCATTGCCTGTGTTGATTTTCAGAAACATCTGGAGTGTCATGGCATCAGGTGCGTGATGGGAGTTGGGAGTGTTGGTCATGGTGATGATTTTATTATACTGACATCAGAATGACCTAAAGATCTTCATAGTGGGGACATTTTCTGCAGCTGAGTCAGACAGTTCCAGCTGGTGCTGGTTCTGCTTGCAATACTGCAGCGCTGGTGGGCTTGGCTCCCCAGTTGGCAGCGGGGGGCGGTGCTGTGCGTGCAG